ATTCTGGAAATGGTTGAAGAAAGGGATCTTGAAACTATCCATTGATTGAGTGAAGCTATAATTCCAGAAGGCATGGCTTGGGAGAGAAATCAACAATAGAAAACCAATATCTTTTCTGATTAGAAGTCTTCAAGCATAAAGTTTCAAGAAATACTTTCCTGGAAGTGTCCTTAAACATTCTTGGACATCAACTACTCCATTGAAAATTAAACAGTCTAACTGGCCACAGATGGTAAGAAGTGGAAATCTATGAGGGGCTTGGGTTTTAAGTTCACTGAGATAACCTTTTTAATGATAGTTAGAATAGATGATAGCTTTTTTTTTCTTTTTTCTTTGTCAAAAAATTTCTTTTTTATTCTTTTTTCCCCTTGTGTAGTTTCTACAAGAGAGGGTGACACAATTTGGATTTATAGTCGTAATTGTGAAGGTGATCTGCAGGTGCTAATTCTATCAGAAATTTGGGATCTTAATCTTATTCTTTAGGGGAACAATACATCACCCCCATAAATTGCATCTAGAGACTTCGGCTAAAAACAGGTAAGTTGGGTCAGGAAATTTATACTTTGCATGTATTCTCGTGTGTATAATGATTCTTTATTATTTAATAAATAAATGATACCAACCTGATTGTGGAATTAAAAAAAAAAAAAACAATATTGATATTTTAAAGTATTATATTGAAAAATTTTTTTAATATTAATTTTACAAAATATCATATTGAATAGTATCAATTGAAATCCTAAATCTTGCTTTTTATATTTTTATAATTTACTTTATCCTTATATATAAATAGTTCCTTTCTTAACTTTTTTATTATTTAAGAATTTTTTTATTAGAAATATATCTATTATAATAGATAATAAATTAATATTTATATTTAGTATTTGTATTATAGGATAAAGTGATAGGAAACTTTAGTGATAGTTAAACAGGCAAAAAATAAAAAACAAAAAGTTCTCTATAGTTCATGCTTGAGTATAAATCCACTTTTATGATGTTAAGTTAATACTCAGGTTAGAATAAGGGCAGTGTGTCAGTTAAATTAGACTATTTATATAATGATTATTTATAATTTTTAATTTATAATAAAAATCCTTACATGTATCATATTTTAGTTCTTAAAAAAAAAATTAATATTTATAAAATTTAACTTTGTTTATCTATCTTATATATTAATATTAATTGTATAATAATAATGATTATTTTTTTAATAAAGATAATAAAACCTATCTTATTTTAATTATAAAAAAAAATTAAGTTGTAAAGTTTAGTTGAAATTAAATTAGAAGTTTTATTTTATATAATTATTTTTTTATATAATATATTACAATTCCATAATCATTAAAAAGATCAAAAATTTTACTTTTATATAATTAGGATTTTGAACCAAGTACAGAAATAATATCAACTTTGATATCAACTTATAATAAATTTAATATGTGAATTATGATCTACTATATTAAACTTATAGTAAATTTAATACTACTTGATATTAAAATAGTATTATTAGGAATTTTATATATAATCTAATTAAAAAATTTTTATAATAACTTTTTATAATCAAATAAATTTAAATTATAAATCTTTATTTTAGTTTATAAAGCTTTATTACTAAGTTATTAATATATAAGTAGAATTTTAAACCAAATACTAAAATAGGACTAATTTGATATTAATTTATAATAAATTTAATATATGGATTGTAATTCACAATATTAAACTTATAGTAAATTCAATATTCACTTGATACCAAAATAATATTATTAAAAACTCTACCTATAGGTTATTATTATTATTATTATTATTTATTTTATTAAATTAATTTATTATATAATAAAAAATAATATAATTGATTAGATTTAATCTAAATAATCAATAAGCCTGTTAAAATAATACAGAAGTTAAATATCATTTAAAACACAGTTTGTACTTTTTCAAGTTATTAATAAATAAAATAAATAATAATGATTTGTTACTTTTTTTTTAAAAAAAAAAACTTAATAATAAAAATATTATTATAATTACAAAAATATTTTATTTAAATTAATTAAATATTAAAATAAAAAATTAGTCCAAAAAATTATAAATAAAAAAATTAAAGAGATAAACTTGTTCTAATAATTGTCTTTTTTTTGAATATCACTGTATACACAGTGAAATTTAATATAGCAAATATTCGATATAGTGGAAAAATATAAAAATCTCAATATAGTGAAATAGACTCAAAAATAGCTATAATAAAATAATCTTGATGTAATGGATTTAATAATAAAATTTAAAAAAATCTTACTATAGTGAAATTTTCAAATTTTTTTACTAATTGCCCTAGGGTTACGTTACAGTGTATTATGTTATTTATGTTATTTATGTTAATTTATGTTATATTATAAAAAAAAAATTTTTTTTTTTTACAAATATTCTTATCTGAGATGTATATAAATGACGTAACAAAGCGAAATCAAATACAAGGGCTAATTAATTCCACCGAGGCTTGGCCGTTCTAAGCCATGGCTCCATTTTATCAACGTCCCGAAAATGCTCTGAAAAGAGCCGAAGGTAGGTATATTTATGTTTAAAGATAATGGATATAAGCAATATTTTTAACGGCGTCATTAAAAGTTTAAAAGTTTGATCACCAGGTTCAAAGATAAATTAATATGAAACTGATCGGAAAAAATATTTTTATCATTAGAATTAATTACAGTTGGTCAAAATGCTGCCGCCCTGACATCTCTCCATGAGGTAATTTCAAAACGCCGTGGCACACCGCTTACAGCATTAGAGCCAATTATGCTTCGATTTGTGGAATTGTGTGTCAATCTGAGGAAAGGTAAGACGGCAAAAGAAGGCTTGCACCAATACAAAAATATTTCACAAAACACTAGCGTTGCAACTATTGAGGTTAGTAGAAATGTTTAGGGATATAATAATGTGAAGTATCTAAACTTATGTTTATAGAATAGCTCATTTCTTTTTTTTTCGAATATAGCTCGTTATAGAGAAATTTATTGAACTCTCCGAGGAAAAGGTAGCAGCTGCCCAAGCAAAGGCAGATCAAATTACTTTGGATGCAATTGATGATCTCGAGGCATCCGAAACTCCAGAGTCAATAATGTTGAGCACCGTAAGCGGTGAACAGAGTAAAGATAGAACTGATAGAGCCGTAGTAACACCTTGGCTCAAGTTTTTGTGGGAAGCTTATAGAACGGTTTTGGATATTTTAAGGAATAATGCTCGTTTGGAAATTTTGTATCAAGTAAGTTTAATAAACTTTCATTTCTTATTTACATGTTATATCTTTACTTACATATTGCCTTCATATGTATAGCAAACTGCCCATCAAGCATTTCAGTTCTGTCTCAAGTATACTCGAAAAACAGAATTTAGACGCCTTTGCGATCTTCTTCGTAATCATCTTCAAAACATAACAAAATATGCCCATCAGCAATATTCTATAAATCTGAATGAGCCAGAAACTCTTCAGAGACATTTGGATACTCGATTCTATCAACTCAACGCCGCGGTTGAACTAGAGCTATGGCAAGAAGCATTCAGATCAGTTGAAGATATTCATAATTTGTTATCGATGTCTAAGAGACCTCCAAAACCTGTAATGATGGCAAATTATTATGATAAATTGACAAAGATTTTTTTGGTCAGCGAAAATTACTTGTTCCATGCTTGTGCCTGGAATCGTTATTATACATTGGTAAAGGCCCAAAATAAATCCTTAACCGATGAGGAAAACACGAGGATGGCTTCATTTGTGTTATTATCTGCTCTCGCCATTCCCGTTATTGCTGGTTCCAAGACTCGCATGCTTGAAATTGATGATAATAAAAACAAACAACATCGACTTTCCTCGTTACTGGGTATAGGCCACTCACCTACTAGGTCTGGTTTGTTAAAGGAAGCGGTATGTAAAAATTTTTATTTAATTATAAGATCGTAATTAATTTAATAATATTGAAAATATTTAACTAATATCAATTTAGCTCAACAAAAATATTTTGCGTAGAGTTCGTCCAGAATTGAGGGACCTCTACAATATTTTAGAAGTTCAGTTTCATCCGTTGTCGATTTGCAAGAAGATAGAACCCATTATGAATCATCTCGCCCAAGATCCTGAAATGGCTAAATATGTGAAGCCTCTGCACCAAGTTATTCTAACACGTCTATTCCAGCAATTATCGCAAGTTTATGATAGTGTTAAACTTGATTTTGTCATCAATCTTGCTTCATTTGCACCTCCATATAATTATGATGCGGCAACTATTGAAAAATTTATTATGAATGGGTGTAAGAAGGGTGAACTTTCAATTCGCATTGATCATTCTACAAGTAGTTTGACATTTGAGACAGATCTGTTTGCAGCATCTAAAAATGCGGATGCTGACGGTGCGAAACTGCAAGCATCGCCTGCAGAACGGATGCGGGATCAACTCTCACGGCTCGCAAAATGTTTTTATACTACCGTTCACATGATAGACCCTACTATCATTGAGTCCAAGAAAAATGCAAAGAAACAGGCTCTTTCGCGTGCCTTAGCTGGTATGGAAGAAGAACATAATAACGCTCTAGCTCGTAAAGCAATTATTGAGAGAAGGAGAGAACTGGTAGAAACTTTGTTGATGCGCAGGGAAAAAGAAAAAATGCGGCAAAATGCTATCCGTAAAATGCAAAAGGATGAAGAATTAAAACAGAAACAACTAGAAGCAGCCAGAATACGTGAAAAAGAAAAAAGAAAACGTGAACTCGAAGCTATTCAAAAAGATGAAGCACGCAAATTTGCAGAGTCTCTTAAAGCAAAAAATTTTAAAGTTCAATTGGAGGTAAATATTATTAGTGGATTATCGTTCAAAATATATAATACTATATTATTAACCATTTTTATAATAACTCTTAAGGATTTGGAAAACTTGGATACTGACAGACTTGTTCAACTTCAAGTTGAACAGCTTGAGAAGGAAAAGCGTGAACTCAACGAACGTCTTAGAGCTATCTCTAAACGTATGGATCATCTTGAACGTGCCTATCGCAAGGAAGAAATTCCGCTTCTTGAAAAAGATTATGAACGTCAAAGGAAGGCCGACAAAGCTTACCATGAAGCGGCACGTAAATTACAGCTGGAGACTGCGGCCGCTAAGCATGCAGAGGATCTTAAATTGAAAGAAAGACTAAAAAGGATTCTACCTGATTATCTCAAATATCGATCGGAGATTGAAAACAAACGTTCTGAAGAATTCGAAGACCGTCGAAGAGCTGCACAAGCTAAAATTGAAGAAGAAAAAGAGAAAAGGCGGCAACTTTACAGAGCAAAAAAGGAAGAAGAAAGAAAGAGAAAAGAAGCAGAGGAAGATGCTCGACTAAGAGCCGAAGATGAAGAAAAGAGGCGAAAAGAAGCAGAAGAGGAAGCTCAACGAAGAGCTGAGGAAGAAGAAAGGCGTAAGATTGAAATTTTTTTTAATATTTGATATATTTGCATTATATTAGAGATATTCACGTTAGTATGTTTTAGTGACCCGACGCGCTGAAGAAGAAAGTCGTGCAGCTGAGAAATTGGAATATGAAGCGAGGAAACGGTATGAATATGTTAGATAAATAATGTTTTGCACTAGGTATATTATTAATTTTTTTTTTGAACATGTTAGTAAACTTGACGAGCAAGCTGCCCGACAGCGTGAGGCAGAAAGGTCTGCTGAAGAAAGACGGTTGGCACGCGAACGTGAAACTGAGCAAAAAAGAGCACAAGAACGAGAAGAACAGGAACGACTTCGTCGCCGTCGTGAATCAGAAAAGTCTTCAAGTACTATGTCTACTAGTACTGGATATGTTCCTCCACATCTTCGTCGTTCACAAGAAGAAGGTGGTCTTCGGCGTCAATCAACGGATACCTCAAATAAAGAGGAATTATCTTGGCGTAGAGGTGGGCGAGGGACCGGACTTGGTCGTGCAAATGCATCGGAAGATACTCAACGTCGCCCTGCACAGACCCGTCGTGATACTGATGATTTGTGGCGTCGACCTTCCGCCAGCCGTAGTAACACTACCGAGGAAACTGATAAACGTCGTCCTGAAACAATACGTCGTACAACGAATGAAGAAGGGGAGCGACGTCGTGGTTCTAACACCCTAGTACGAGAAGAATCACTTAAAGGAGACCGTGAACCAGAATGGAGACGCAGTGGGAAATCATCAAAAGATAATGAAGATCATGAGCAACCTTCCTCAGTGTCGTCCAGAGGCCCTACACGTATAGTAAAATCAGATAATGTATGGAAACCTCGTGTAAGGCAGAATCTTGATTCTTCCATTGCAGAAGGAACTAACTCTGGACGGGAAAGTTTGATTGCGACATTACAAGGTCAAACACAAGAAATGGAGGAGGATTCATTTGTTGCAGAACCGGAACAAGAAGTAGAGTCAAGTGAGCAATTGGTGACATCTGATTCAAATAAACAACCTCCAACCGAAGTAAGTGATGATGGGTTCACTGTGGTCAAGAGCAGGCGTCGAAAAAATTAATTTGGTATTTTGGTGCAGAATATACCAAAATGTAAACAAAAAACTCCCATTTGGCTTATTGAATTTATGGATAGGTAATGTTGAGCAAGGAAAGATGTTCAATAAAGTTTTTTTTTTTGAACAATTTCTTTTCAATTTAAAGGTTATAATTTCTTTAGTACATAAATTAATTTGTTTTCATAAATAACATTGTTTGATAAACCTGTTATTGGATTTCACATTTAATATTTGGAATTGTGTTTATATAATTCAAAGAAACATAAAATCTTAATTGGCATTATTCAGATTATATATAATTTTAAAATATTTCAAGATTTATTGAAATTAAAAATTTTTTTTTATTGATAATTAAAGATTATTAAGCAAAAAATCTTTTTAAATATATTATTATATAATTAACTTATTATTATAATTTATTTTATTGATAAATTTTATATAAAAATTCAATAATTAATTAATAAAAATTTTTTTTCTAATTAAACAAGTATTATTTAATATTAAAATATAATATATAATAGTTTAGTTACTTTTATATACAATACTTGAATACTTGTCTTTGATAAAATTATTTCTAGAAAAAAAAAAAAACTCTTGAAAATTTTCTTTTATAGTAATTTTCTTGAAAGAAGTGCTTTCCTCTTTCTCTTCAATATACTAATTATGCTATAAGCTCAAGGACATAAGGATTTTAAGAACCACTGTTGCATCAGAATAGAACTTCTGATCAAAGGCCAAGCAAGTTTGAAAGTCTTGTTTGTTCTTTGATTGTATGAAGAAAAGCCTATAGCAGTTCTTCTTCTTAATTTTGTCTTTATACATTTTTTCCTTTATTATTATTATAATAATCATCCTTCTTATCATCCTCAATACCACTTATTTTTTCCTAAAAGTATATTCAAGTAAAGTTTTGGGTTCTTCTACTTGTCTCAACCAAACCCTTCTAAACAATTTAAATGAAGTACACTTTACTATGCCACTTCAATGATATTAAAAATTTTTTCAAAATCAAAAACCAAAACCTGCTTAACCCCTTCAAATGATCTACACAATCTCAATAACCAATCAAACTCTGACACTTCAATTAAACAAGAACCAAACCAGTATTAACCTGTTAGAGATAACAATAACAACATTATCATACAAAAACATATCAAATACTTATCAAATAAAGATCAATTTTCTGAAAATCTTCCATATCACTAAAAAAAAAATTCATATTAGCCATAACTTAGCAATTTATGAATAGGCATAAGCCATTCATGAATCACTTCTATTATGATTTCATCCACATGGTATTTTTATTATTTTAAAAGCTTTTTATGTAATAGGCTAGTATTAACTTAAATGAATGCTTAATGTAATAACAAGATTATTAATTAATCAATAATGTCTCATATTTTATGCTTGTTTATAGTAAAAATAAAAAATAAAAAAAATAAAAATATTTATTTTAATATATTTGTTTCAAAGTATATATTGAAATTATTGTTTACAATTTATTATTACAATTTTTTTTTTTAACTGTGACAGTTATTAATCAAAGCTTTAATTTATAAAAAATTACTTATTATTAACAATATTACAAATATATGAAGGTTAACATATATCTCTCTTTGTTAAGAAGAGTTTAATGCAGAACTTAAAAAAATGATCCATCTATCCTAGTTATTTTTTCCAAAAACTGTTCAAACAGTAACAAAAAAATTTTCAAAATCTATATATCTCAGGTAGTGCCTAGTAGAAAATTAAGAGATTTGTAATACCCAATTACATGAAGGTGCTACAGTCAGATATACAGATTTGCTTCCAAGTTATAAATAGGATTTGGCACACTTGCTTTCCAAAATTGGTTTAATGTATAGCAGGCAGAGTAGAGAAGGAAAAAGTTAATTTTTTATATATGAAAATGCTATAGTCACTTTTTACAGGTTGGCCTTCAAGTCATATAAAGAGTTTGGCATATCCATTTTCCAGGCATGACAGGAGTGTCCAATGGATAAAATTGGGTTGGAATTTCTTAAAAACATTGTTATCTAATCATGCATATGAATCTACATTGTTGAGAGGTATGCAAGAAACTTTTGTTATCAATACCAGCTCTGTTTGTAGAAGTAACTAGAATTCCTAGTTATCATATATTATCTTATTAGGTATTCTAGACATCAGTATGTCACTTATAGAATTCTATACCAGTATTAGCTACTATATGACTGGATACAGTGAAGCACAACTTCTTGAAAGTTTGAATAACAATAGTTGTATAGTAGCTTCTTAGATGTATCTAGTCTAACTATTAACAAATAAACAACATTGAATATAACAATAATAACTATGCTGATTTTTTGAAGAGGATAAACCATTTATCCTTTTTCTAAAAAATTATAGAAGCAAGAAATTTTCTAGGACCCATATCATAAAAAAAGTTGCCACTTCTTAATATGGTTCTTGAGAAAAAGGAGCCAACTGGCCAGAGGAGAAATGAGATGGAGGGTGGCAGTTTTAAGAGAGAAAGAGGCCTAAAGAGAAAAAACTTTAAAGTGAAGAAAAAAATTTTAATTTTGACAAGTAAAGGAAAAAAGAAAAAAGGAGGAGGTATATATTAAAAAAGATTTGTAGAAGAGAAAAGAAAAGAAAAGAAAGGAAGAGAAAAAAATAATAGAAAAAAAATAATATTGGGGAAAGGGGAAAAGCAAAAAACAATTTAAAAATTTCCTTAAAAGAAAATTTTCAAGTGTAGAAGAGGAAGTGGGAAAGAGTTTTTTTTTTTTAATTTATTATTACAATTTATCTTGTTAAATCTTAATTATATTTATGTTTTTAACTATCTTTTTTCTTTTTTAATTTTAACTGTAATTTTTTTATGAATTTTATTATTATTTATATTATCTAATAAATAAAATAAATAAATATATATATATATATACAGTATATATTTTCTATAATCAAACAAGTATTTATTGTATTTATTTAATTATTGGAGTTAAAACATACAAGTATAAAACTTTTATGTATAAACTAAGCTAATATTAAATACCTGTTTCTAATTGTCAATCTCTAAGTATGATTTTGAAGATTAATAAAGTTGCTTACTTATCTTTTTTATTTCTAAGAGGATTTGAGTTTATTGTCTATAGTTCATTATTACAGTTTACCTTAACAAGATCTTGATTATTTTATATTCCTAACCATTTAATTCTCTCCTTTATATTGTTCTATAAGATTTGTATAAGGGTTTCTGAAATCTTGATATCTTTGATTACTGGACTTGTATCTGTCTATATTACTGTTGTCTCATTTTCTTTTTTCTAAGGTTTGTGTTTTTTCTTGGACTTGAAGACTTCTCTTGATATTCTTAAGTTGAAACCTGTCTCTTTTTTTTTGTTGCATGCTTTTTTATAGTTGTGGATTTTTTCATATTTTGTATTCCAGATTTACTGACAAAACTCTAGGGTTCCAATCGGTTTCGGTACTAATTTTTATGTAAAAATACCGAATCGAAAATTTCAATACTGTACCGATCGGTTTTGGTACTGTACTTAGGGCTCCTAATGATACCACTTTGATATCAGTTCAATACTTAAATTTACTATAAAAACATATGAGTAGGTCACAACTCATATATTAAATTTACTATAGATCGGTACCATTTCGATACCAGTTTGATACCAGTTCGGTATTTTTTTGGAACCCTACAATAAAGATTATGCACCTTGTGTATGTTCCACTATAAAAAAAAATAATAATAATAACATAATTATATTAACACTATAAACAAATCAATACTACTATTACATTTGTGTATTAGCAATATAAATACAGTACATTAACTCCTATCCATCAACAAACATGTTAATATTTTATTAATAGTACAAACATGTCAACAATTTATAACTATCCAAACATGTCAACAATATAATAGTATTACAAACATGTCAACAATATAATACTATTACAAATATGTCAACAACTTATCATTTCTATTAATACATCAATGACTTGTCAAAACAATGCCTACAAATTAATTATACCAATTTCTATCTATTACTCCAACCAATTCACTTCAAGTTCTATCAACATTCAAATCTTATTATGTATTAAACAGCTTTACTCTTTTAGACATCATCCTTATAAAAAGAAGAAAACAGCTTTTTGTATTAATATACATGAATGAAAATAATAATATAGTCATCACAGAACTTTTCAACTCTATCACTGCCCCACTATTATCAAACTATCATTCTAAATGATTCATTTTGACACAGAGCTTGACTTATTCCAAATCCTCAAATCTTCTGTAATTCAAATTGACTTTTCAATTAAGAGTCAAGACAGTCTTCAGGTCCAGGCTACTACTCCAAAAGTCAAACTTGCCACCCACTTGGATAAGTTTCTAAGGTTTCAGGATTCCTTTCAAAAAACTTTTTTAAGTAACTAGCACCTTAGAGAAGAAGTCTTGAACAGTGTATTCAATAAAGATTGGGATTATTCCAAACATATTCCTTGGAATATAATCAATATTGAAAGAAAAGTCAGTGGAGAAAACCAATTATATAATCTAAGAGCAAACTTCCAACTAAGCACAGCAAATCAATCTGTCTCTATGCAAATTCTCAATCTTATAGATTCTACACACCCCTATCATAATTTACCGAAAAAAATTATTACATAATTTTTTTTTTTATTTTTTGACATTTTTATAATAATGTGTAAAAAAAATTTTTTTTATTAAAAAATAAAAAATTTTTTTTTAAATAAAGCTTAAATTCTTTAATTTTAATAATTAAAATTTTAGAA